AAATGGTGTAATTTTTTTATTCTGGTTAGCGTTCTTTAGCGAGGTTATTTTCCACGGGATGGGGTTGACAACCCTTTACCCAACACTTTTACCCATGCTTGGAACCGGCGGTAACCCTAGAAGAGCTAAAGGTGGAGTTTCGTAGAAAGGAAGGTGTAAAGTAGTTTCAGTCACGAATAAATGGAAGACAAAGAGTGTGCAAAGCAAAGAGATACAAAGCAATTTTAATCTAATGGCTCAAAGGAAAACGGAGAGTGTATACACCGACGCCATTGTGATCGATTCTGAGTCATGTCACCAAGAGTCTCCAACCATTGGTTACGATAGTCACGCGTACTCCAACCAAGTAGTCTGCATCTACCAATATGGCTCAGACTAGAAGTTAGTGACTTCAAGCACGTTTTTGTTTGGCCGCCCCTAACTTTCTTCCAATCATCCCTAACACCGGTTAGCATCGCACGTCGTGGTAATCGGTGTTCAGGCATACGCAACACGTGGCCCAACCATCTCAGTCGATGAAGATTCACAACCTCATCGACTGATTTACCATCATTCCCTAATAACCTGCGTCTAACCTCACTGTTAATTACCCGGTGATCCCAGCAGATGCCAGCAATATTTCTAAGGAATCTGTGGTCAAATACTAGTGGCTTACGAGTATCTTCAACTCTTAATGGCCATGTTTCTCAGCCTGATTGTACCTTTCCGTTTCCCCCACCATTGTTCTCTCTCTCTCCTCTTTTTTTTATAATTCCCCACGTTCATTACTTTTTTTTTCTCTTTTCTCCTTCTCTTCAAATTATCATTGTTTTGTGTGGCGCATATATATTTGGTGCCCCCCTGTACCAATATTTATGTGTTCAAATAAATAAATAAAAAAATGATGACAGACACTGCCACAGAGCCTCCCGGTCAATAGAGTTAAATTCTGCTTTTAAGTCAAGAAAAACTATCATTGTTGGATTCCGATAGGCATGCCTGTGTTCTAGAACCTGACAAATGTTGAACATGTGGTCGATGCAGCTACGACCAGGTCTGAAGCCAGCCTGGTTTCCTCTGACTTGTGCTTCACGAGTTTTAGGCGTCCGATAATTATTGAGGAGCGGCCAAACCAAAACGGCATCAGTACTTAAAGTCACTAACTTCTAGTCTGAGCCATGTTGGTAGATGCAGACTACTTGATTGGGGTCCGCACGACCATCGCAACTAATAGGTGGAGACTGAATGACATGGCTTAGAATCGATCACAATGGCGTAGGTTTATACACTCTCCGTCTTCCTTCTTCTTTTACTTTCTTCATAAAAAGTGGTTGCTTCTTCCTTAACTGAAAGATTTCTTCTGATTGTACTTTTTCGTTTCCCCCATTATTGTTCTCTCTCCCTTTTTTTTCAATAATTCCCCACGTTCATTACTTTTTTCCCCCTTCTCTTCAAATTATCATTGTTTTGTGTGGCGCATATATATTTGGTGCCCCCTTGTACCAATATTTATGTGTTCAAATAAATAAATAAAACTATATCCTTATATGCAATCTTTCTTTTACATATTACCACCACTGAATTAACTACTATGAATCTGGTGTTCATCTTGTTGAGCTAATGAGGTTTGACAACTTGGACCGATGCATGTATGTGCCTGGTCCTACGTTGCAGCTGACTGACTGACGGGCAGCAGCACAGTAGCTGAAAGCCAGTTGAACTACTCCTTAATGTGTTCCGCCCATCGTTCTGAACGTCTGGATTGAGAGCAGATAAGGGTGTCGTCGTTTTCCGAGATTATCCCACTTACACTTGACTTCTTAATTCCAGTTCCTTTTATTAGTCTGAGAAGCTGTTTGGTGTTACCTACGGCCGCTGCCTTTTCCATTATCTCTTGTTTTCGTTGCCCACCACTGCTCACGGTAGTTTCATTGTCTTTTGATTAATCTATATCTGATTTGTTTCCGCTCATAGTCATGTTCAAAGCCTGATGGGATAAGTTTACGAGAGTCTATCAGTGCAATAGATGCAGCGGAAACCTTTTGGTTCAAATCACTAATAGATTTCGCTGCTGTTTCCACAGCTGTTCGAATGTCTTTGCGAGCAACATCTGGGTCAACCTCGTTTTCGAAATTTCTAAGTGTGACTTCAATTATTCCTGGAATTTACCTTTGGCTTTCTCATCTTTGAGTTCAACTCTAATGGGTCTTCTTAATGTGGCTTTTCTGCGTCCGGTGAGGTTCAAGGAAATTCGTTCTCCCATTTATTATCTGTTACACTAGTATATAGTTGGATACCACTCTAAGTCGTTCTGCTTGTTTTCAAATCAGTGACTTTAGTGTGTTACAAAAAGGGTTGTTAAGGTAACAACAAAAGTTTATTTCACTTAAAAAATTAGGTCCTTTTTTACGTGAGTGGTCGCTAATCCCACTAGTGTAACATGCTGTTGTCTTGACAAATTCTTTCGTAGCAAAACGCAACTGCTATCAATAGTGGCAGTGTATATCAACCGAATACATGCCCTGGAAACGATCACAACATTAATCTCATAGACCTATCCAACTGAGTCTTTTATTGACTATCATAATAACTATCTTACATATTTAATAAAAAAAACCCTGACCATTGACCTATTATTATTAGGCCACTATACTCAAGAATATTATTTTCATGTTATGGTGACACTTAATAAATATCTAGTTCATTTTTACAAGGATAGCTATACCTCATAGCTCGTTCATTTAGTTTGCTCACTATTTTTGTGTCTCTGGGATGTATCAGAACTTGATTAGTATTCATCTGTATCTAAGTCTCTTATATCTTCTATATTGAACCTTACAGAACAAATAGAGAAGTGAAACTTTGTTTCCACTAGTCGTCGTCTGACTTGCAAATTAGACTTAACTACAGATGATAATTTATCATCGACAATTGGTTTGTGTAAAAATTTTCTTGCGGTCAGTAGACTGATTTTTCTAATACCTGATATATTATGCGCATGCCTTGTCATTGCGTTATTCGTTTATTACCCCCCCCCCAGTTTTAAGTTAGTGAGTAGTTGACCTGAATAAAAACTGTATAGCATTCCAATGATTCTAAATTTTGCTGAATATCACTCCTATTGCTGATATAATAAGTTATGCTCTGACTCTTAGGGTTGTAAAAAAACGACGAAACTATCATAATATCTGTGACTGTAAAACGGTTAAAATTTCAGTGATTTCCATTATGTAGCTCGTTTTCAAAGTCCAGGATTGCATACTCACTTTTAATCCTCAGCAATTTTCCAAGGGGCTATGATACTACTGGGTTTCCGTGTTAAGATTAGGTGTATCAGGTTCCCAACATGCTATCTGTTGGTCAGAAACGTAGTGTCATCTACTAAGTCATCATTGCATGATTCCAATAAAAACAAGATAAAGTTTACCACTTTTGAAGCTGATTACGGCACTTTATTCCTACTGGCCCCCAAATACCCTGGTACGGCCGAGATTGGGGAGATTCACCTCTTTCTCGAAATGCTCTCAAGAGGCCACATGCATACAACCACCGCCAGGGAAGTCCTACTCACTGCCTTCTCGTGACGGGGTTGTTTACGAAATTGAAAGGACGAAAAGCGAATGTCCAGCGCTTTAACCGAGTTGGTGGACATGAAGAGTCCACCTAGGGGAGTTGGAAAACCCTGACTCCAAACAAATGGTGTTCATGGGCTCCAGTATCCTGAAGGAACAAATGGCGTATGAACCAAACGTTGGTTACCGGCTACCATGGGACTGCATCTCCTCACGTTGCTCCACTGCCTTGTGGATTAGATGTTTAGGTCAAAGGCTCGGCTCGGAATGTGTGCCCCTCTAAGAAAACCACCTGTTTTGGTTTTGGCACCCGGGAAGTATCTCACCTCTCACAAAAGTCGAATGATTTATGTGGCGCATATTTATTTATTGCCTCCTTGTACTGATATTTATGTGTTTATATAGATAAATTACTCTTACTGGCGTACACGCGTTTTAAAGTGCTATGCATAATGTACCATTAAATGTCCATGAAGTCAATATGTCGAAATTGTATATGTCAGTTGGTATAATTCTTAATCTTGACATAGTTAAGACGATATTAAGCAAATAAAAAAAGTATTCACTTCAGCCAAAGATTTCGTAGCAGTAAGAGATTTTCAGCTTGTGTTCGAAAGACTAACAGGCTAATATTAGCACTTTTGTCATTCCATACATATGTCTAAATGCAGGTCGACATTATTTCCAAAATACCAAAAAGTTTTCAGATTTTTTGTTTCATTGTGGTGAATATTAAATGTGTTTTTATTGTTGTAGACATATGAATGGGTATACAGACAGTGTTGTGCAGATTCAAAATATGACTCAATCAAATAATTTTGCATCGCCTAATAAAAGAGAAAGAACAGTGAATAGTAATCCTCACTCTTTTTCTCTTTCACCAAATATATCACCAAAAACTATCGAGCATCCCAGTCAAACTTCTTCTCCAACAAATCTAACGAATAGTCTTCCTAACGTAGTAGAAACCGCAACTGTACCAAATTTCCAGTATAAACCAACATGCATCATACGTGAAACACATAGCCAATCTGTTTTCGGTGTTGCGTTTAATTCAGTCAATCGAAGTCAACCAACTGATCCACTTCTTTTTGCTACAGTTGCTAGTCACTATGTAAGTTTTGAATTAACAAAGTTAAATTTACTCAATCGCTTTTAATTCTGATATGATGGAAAGAAAAGTCAGTTTTCGATTGATCTACTCATTATGAGTTTTGTTCAAGATTACTTCCGTTTTGATTCAATGTAATGTTTAGAATGTTATAACTGTGAGAGACGTGCGGTTTGAGTAGAGAGAGAATTATTGATCGGACCAAAGACGCGCAAACACGTAAGATTAGCCTAGAGTTCTGATTGGTTCCGCTTCCCTGTCTAGCCCAGCCAGTTGAGTCCAGAACGCAAGTCTTAGCCTCTGTGATATGAATCATTATTTTTCAAACATACTCTGTTTATATACCAAACAAACAGACTACACCGTACCATAAAATAGAAAGTAACATTTGTACAAGATTTGACCTCCAGGAAATGACACAAATAAATATTGACCAACGGGAAAATGGCACGTTGGATGAATATTGACCAATGGGGAAATGACACCATTTCTCATTCAGGAATAGTATTAGATAATTTCTGCGGTATTTTCTGAATACCCCAACATAGTATTTGTTTTATTTTCTCGTACAATTTTTTATTCTGTATAATATACGATATTCTTGTATTCTATTGATCTGAACTATGCCCAGTATGTGATTTGTTATAACTCGGAGTATTTTTCATATATGTGATTTCATCCTAATTAATAATTAAAATGGGTGTACAATCAATATATAAATGAGTGTATTTTCGACTAGGGTCGTCGTCATCGTCATAGTGTTTTGGGGCTAATTAGTTTTCACTTATACCAGTCTCTGTGTTCTTACATTCGCTTCATGGGAATTGCAGAGGTCCCTCGTTCCAAGCATAAGTGATCAGCGTTTTTCCGGAACAACAATCAGCGACGACTAGATATAACAAGTTCATTTGTTTATGTTAATTTCTTTTACTTCTTCATTCCAGTCCTAATATTTCCATGTTTTACTTTTACTCATAATATGTAGGTTACAGTTTATCAATGTAGTCTGAAGAATAATCTGGAAGATAAATCTATTCAGAATCCTGATATGTCATCTGTTTGTCTACTCCAATCTTTTGCCGATCCTGCTGGAGATAAAGAAGAGTTTTATTGTTGTGCTTGGTCGCGTGATACAAGTGGTAATGTAGCATCTAGTTGGTGGACTGATTGCTGTGAAAGTCGTCGACCACGTCCAAATCTTCATCCTCATCAAGGTCCTATCGGCTCTTCCAGTGGATCACTTCTACCTGCTCATCAGCAAGTAGTAGCTGCTGCAGGTAAACGTGGTGTAATTCGAATCCTCTGTCCTAGTATGGCTAGTTGTCCTGCTAGTCTTGTTGGCCACGGATCGTCTATTAATGAGCTAAGATTTCACCCAAGAGACCCTGCTCTATTATTTTCTTTTAGTAAAGGTTAGTGAAATATTTTATGAGTCATTGATTAACTAATCTTAGTGGTCTATAGACATAAAATATACAATTCGCTGACTACTTTCAGATATATTTCGCACCTTGTATTTATCTGTAATAGCAAAAGCTAATAATTATATAAAACCATAGTATAGTTAAATCAAACAGTTCATTAAAAATATATCATCTGAAGGTGTGCTGATTCTTGTCTACAAATTTTACAAACTCGTCCACTTATCGACTTAGAATACGTAGATGATATAGTCCTGTTTGGTGAAGACTGATAAAATGCAGCGTCTTTTGGTAGCACTGAGCAACAATGACAAGATTTTTGGGATGCGCTTCTCTCCCTCTAAATGCTGGTTGTTGCTTCAGGACTGAACTTAGTCAACACTTGAAATAAGGATAGGGAGTGAAGTAGTCAAACGCGTGGACGACTCCACTTATCTTGGAAGTCTGATCAGTCCTAATGAGTTAATGTCCGACAAAATCTCTGCACGGATTCGAAAAGCTCGTTTAGTTTTTGCCAACTTACGTCACCTATGGCGAATGCGAGATATCCATCTATCAATTAAAGGACAGGTATACTGTGCGGCAGTTCGTTCTATTTTACTTTACGGCTGCAAAACATGGCTATTAAGAGTTGAAGATACTCGTAAGCCACTAGTATTTGACCACAGATTCCTTAGAAATATTGCTGGCATCTGCTGGGATCACCGGGTAATTAACAGTGAGGTTAGACGCAGGTTATTAGGGAATGATGGTAAATCAGTCGATGAGGTTGTGAATCTTCATCGACTGAGATGGTTGGGCCACGTGTTGCGTATGCCTGAACACCGATTACCACGACGTGCGATGCTAACCGGTGTTAGGGATAATTGGAAGAAAGTTAGGGGCGGCCAAACAAAAACGTGCTTGAAGTCACTAACTTCTAGTCTGAGCCATATTGGTAGATGCAGACTACTTGGTTGGAGTACGCGTGACTATCGTAACCAATGGTTGGAGACTCTTGGTGACATGACTTAGAATCGATCACAATGGCGTCGGTGTATACACTCTCTGCCTTCCCTTAAAGTAAGAGATTAAAATCGCTTCATATCTTTCTTTCTACGTACGAAATCTTTGTTCCTGTACTATTTCCTTGTATGCAATCTTTTTTTTATATATTACCACCATTGACTTGAATACTCCTATGAATTCGGTGTTCATCTTGTTGCGGTATGGCACTTTAAACCGATGCATGTATGTGCCTGGTCCTACGTTGTAGCTGACTGACTCGTTACATTTAGTTGATTTATAACAATCCAAAGCTAATAAATAGAAAACGTTTCTACTAACTGAATTTAGAAGTAACAAAATCAGATATTGTGACGTTCATTAGGTCCTCATCAACCTGTCCGATTTATAATATTTTACAATTAATTTATAAATAAAAGTTAGCTTACCTATACAAGTGAGGCATGTTAAAAGTTAGTATGAATATGTACTGTCATAGTGGAGCGGATATTCGAATATGGCTGTTAAAAGTGAAAAAATGTTGCAAGTAAATTCGTTGTACAAAATAAGATTCTAGAACACTAAGTAAGACTGATAAAACTGTCTACAATCGCCCACAAAAATGTTTGAATTTGAGTCGCCGCAATTCGTAGCATCAAAAGAATGGGGTATTGACAGTCAGTCAGTTCATCAAACCTTAATGTCCCCTATCTCTACTTATACTTTCAGTACCTCTACCACTATGGGATTTGAATCGATAACTGAATCTCTGTGCTAATGTGGTATGGCAACTCGAACTGATGTACGTACGTACGAAGTTCCACGTTGTTACTGACTGACTGACTGACTGAATATTTAGAAATATAGTTCGAAGACAATCAAAATTTTCGTACTCTGTCTTCAATTTCTAATAGATATTATAAATTAGAAATTTCTAATTTTTAATATCTATTAGAAATCCAAGACGCTGATTTAATTGAAGAATTTCATATTCTAGTCTAACCACATTCAGCGATTACCAACTTACTTTTATTTAGGCAATTATCGTAATTTCAAGATAGTTGTTTGCTAGGTGCAACTGACAGGCAACTTGGTTTTGTAGGCCTCTAACTACTTACTTTTGACACTTAAAGCTACGTCTGACTTCACTCATATGGTCCACCAGAAGCAAGTTATACTTTAATTACTCTTATGATAAAACACGTGTAATCTTTCGACATCATCTCTATTCAGCGGTCACACCTAAGAGCCGTGTATTAGGATGAAGCACGCTTGTGTTGATTCATATCTCCTACTCCAGCTAATCATACGAAAATCATGATCCACTTCAGCTTGATTTTCGGTGATATTAAGAAAAGCAATTTTTGTAGACCAGATACTCTGTAAATGGTGAATGGAAAACGTAATTTTAAATATTTCTTTCAACCCCTTCGGGCTCTAATCAGTACTGTTCCTAATTCAAAGTTTAAACCCATAAAAGTGATTTTCAACTTCAATCAGACAATGTGTTTCATAGTATGCTAATCCATGGACCCCATCGCTAGCCGCTATCCATCTTTGCTTGCAATGCTTGTGACTTCAGGCAATATCGAGGAAATCCGCACAGGATGCACATATGCCGATGAGAGACTAATCACTTGCCGTCTTAAACATCAATGGGAACATTCAAACAAATGATACAAAATGAATCAATATAAATTTGTTTACATTCTCAAATAAAGTGCATAGTTTTAATAGTTTATGTATCTTAAATGAAATTTCAGGGTTTTAAATTATAAAGGGATGTTTTTTATAGCTTTTCCCACGTCGTTTGCTACGTGTTTGTATATTTTGTTTTAGTTGGTATAATGTTATTCATATCCAAACAATTAACGTTGTTGGAGTTCTTCATAAATAACATATAAACTTCAGACTTCTCTTTCGTTACGTCCATTTCATTTGTCCTTATGTAGATTATACCATTCGTTTGTGGAATATAGCTAGTCACGTGCTCGTATGTATTTTTGGTGGAGCTGAAGGTCACCGAGCTGAAGTTCTACATGGTGACCTATCCCTTACAGGTGATCTTTTGCTATCTGCCGGTATGGATCATTGCGTGAAAATTTGGCGGCTTAATACTCCTGAATTAGCTAATGCTGTAATAGATTCATTTAATTACCGCTCACGTTCGAATCCTAAGTAAGTGGCATATTACATTATCAAATGTCTTAAGGGTGAACATTCCTATTTTTCAGTGTAACCTGTTGATTTTAGTTGACAGCCAACTCATGATTTACACCAAGTTTTTCTCTGCTACAAGTGTTGCCTTGTATAACACAGTGTTTAATCGGTATCTCACTTAAATAATAACTCTGAGTCCCGGTTATAATATCTGACTTGAAACCACAGTTCTCTTGATTGGTTTGCTGATGAATTGTCACATAGTTACATGATCCGAGTTCATCAAAAACCATCCAACATTACTGAAGAACCTCAAGTTGGGATTCGAGAACTTTATATTTTTTTACTAGTTCTCTGACTAATTTTTATTACTATTAGAAATATCCAAAAATTAATAGTTTATAAAAACCACCAAATTCAATCATTTATTCACTTACCGTTTTCCTTATCTCATTCAAGACAACCAGGTCACTTGACCAAATATGCTAGAGAAATTCACTTGAAATAAGTGTTAAACTATTTTTCTTACTGAGTAAAATCTCAGAAAATGTAGAATTTAACATACATCCCGCAAACTTGTTTGCAATTTAAGTTCTGTATTGCCTGTTGAATCAAGAATTTAACATTTAAGCTATTCAGTGATTATCAGTGAGAAACTATATAGTTACGCTTTCACAACAGGCTCCTACCTTTATTTCAATTTAAGATGTGTTTTGTATAAGGACAATATTCATATAATGACTCCCTTTCGTGTTTAATCCCCATATCAGCACTATGACAGCTAGAACTCTGATTCTCTCTAAGACCAACAAGTTTACATGTTATCACTCTAAATTTAGTGCTTACTGGACTAATGCTAATATCCCCCCTAATTATGGGAAGTAAACAAGGAATTTCTAGGAACGAATTTTGCAATTATTTTTCATCAGGAAATAATATCAGCTTGATTACCAATAAAAAAGTAGGAAACTCTGGATGGCGGCTTTCGTTTCATCGAGGAGCCTTTAGTAGCGTGTCTTCGTGACTACATTTTGTGCTGCTTCAGCATTAAACATTGTTATTCGTCGTAACAAGCGGTGTTTTAATACCTAAATGTACGAAAAAATCTCTTTGAGCCAACTGAAAGGGCATAAGTCTGTTTTTCTTTTCTCAGTAGGACTGTAGTACACGAGAACAGAGGTAAGAACAATCGAATGTATTTGAATGCAAAATTAGGGAATCTCTTCGTAAATTCTGAGAACCATACAGTAAATACTTAATTTGTAAAATGTTGATGAATTGTCTCAAACTTAACTGTTCCTTTTGTAAGTATCAGTCAATCGTCTCACATTTCATTGTTCTTTCGTTTCCACACAAATCATTTTTTGTTCTCGTTCTCATTTCTTCGATCTTAACCTTCTGCTGTCAGGTATTTCACTTTCGATTGATGTTATATCTGTTGACATCAGTAGCACACACCACAGGACCATGGGATGTTGTTAGAGAAGTATAGTATGTATTCATAATCAATTTTAGAGTAAACTACTGTCTTTCGTTGTATTTATCCAGTATATCTTAATCATATGTATGCTATGCAGTGTCACTGAACCCATGATTCATTGTTATGCAACATCAAAACCTTACTACTAGGAAAGTAGTTGCAGACATTCAGAAAATTATCTTGCCTAGTTGTATGATAAATGAAACTAAACGTTCTTATGTTATCTGTGTTCTCACTTTTTTTTCATTATAATGAGCTATTTTTTTAAAACCATATTTCTCTCAAACCGCTATTTCGTAGGCCGTTCCCTGTGCTTGTTCAACACTTCCCTGAATTCAGTTCCCGTGATGTACATGGCAATTATGTGGACTGTGCCCGTTGGTTTGGCTCTTTAGTCATATCAAAATCGTGTGAAAACAGTGTCACACTCTGGAAGCCTGGTGGACTAGATGATTCCTCAGCAAATATTTCTAGTTTATGCAATGGGTCTCCAAGTAATACCTCAACAGATGTTGGCGGTCTGCGTTTGCCGAGTCGGATGCAACATATTGGCTCATACACAGGTCCTGAATCGCCTATCCCCCCAGCACCTGGTGTCCCAACCGAACACAAGACAAGCATTATCCATCAGTTAAAAGCTGCTGACTGTAACTTATGGTATATTCGTTTTGATATAGATTTAAAGAATCATGTTCTGGCTTTGGGTACAGGAACTGGGCCATCACGTGTCTATTTGTGGGACTTAAAATATCCTGAAAATGCCCTTAATCTCCCAGCTCAAGTACTTCATTTCCCTACAGTTAGTGGAGTTGGTCCCGGTGGTATGCCTTTAAGTCACAGTGCCATTAGACAAACTCGTTTTGCTAACGATGGAGATATTCTTTTGTGTGTAGGTGATAATGGACTCATTGTTAGATTTGATAAAATATAAATCAGCTTTGTATATTTCTGATTAAATATGTAAAAAGATGTTTATTGAAATAAGTGTTGTTCGATATTCATGGTAATTAAATACAGTAGTTAGTGCATTTACCAGGCACTTATTTATGTTCTCGTGGTTAGGCCACACCGTTTGTGTACACAAAAGAAAATAATATATATGGAATTGATGCTGACCTTGATGTTTTATTTATATTTATTATTTAAACACATAAATATCGGTACAAGGATTTACTTACTTACGCCTGTTACTCCTCGTGAAGGAGCATAGGCCGCTCACCAGCATTCTCCATCCAACCCTGTCCTGGCCAATCCTTTCAAGCTCTTTCCAGTTCTTATTCATCCTTTTCATATCTGCTTCTATTTCCCGACGTAATGTGTTCTTTGGCCTTCCTCTTTTCCGCTTCCCTTCAGGATTCCAAGTTAGCGCTTGTCTCGTAATGCAGTTTGATGATTTCCTCAATGTATGTCCTATCCATTTCCATCGTCTTTTCCTAATTTCCTCTTCAGCTGGAAGCTGGTTGGTTCTCTCCCACAAAAGGCTGTTGCTGATGGTATCCGGCGAATGAATGTTGAGTATCATGCGTAGACAGCTATTAATAAATACCTGTACCTTCTTGATGGTGGTTGTTGTAGTTCTCCAAGTTTCAGCTCCATAGAGTAGAACTGCCTTGACGTTCGTATTGAAGATTCTGACTTTGATATTGGTTGAAAGTTGTTTTGAGTTCCATATGTTCTTTAATTGAAGGAATGCCGCTCTAGCTTTGCCAATCCTCGCCTTGACGTCTGCATCTGAACCTCCTTGTTTATCGACGATGCTTCCCAGGTATGTAAAGGATTCCACATCTTCCAGAGTTTCGCCGTCAAGAGTGATTGGATTGCTGTTCTCCATGTTGTGTTTGAGGACCTTGGTTTTCCCTTTGTGTATGTTGAGGCCTACTGATGCAGAGACTGCTGCTACTCTGGCTGTCTTTATCTGCATTTGTTCGTGTGTATGTGATAGGAGGGCTAGGTCATCTGCGAAGTCCAAGTCGTCTAATTGGTTCTGAGCTGTCCATCGTATGCCGTGGTTTCCCTCAGATGTCGAGGTCTTCATAATCCAGTCGACCACCAGAAGAAACAGGAAGGGAGAGAGTAGACAGCCTTGTCTGACTCCGGTCCTTACTTGGAATGCGTCTGTCAGCTGTCCTCCATGCACTACTTTGCACTGTAGTCCATCGTATGAGTTCCGGATAATGTTGACAATCTTCTCAGGAACTCCGTAGTGTCGAAGAAGTTTCCATAACGTCCTCCTATCTACACTGTCAAATGCCTTCTCATAATCAATGAAGTTGACGTAGAGTGACGAGTTCCACTCAATTGATTGTTCGACGATGATCGCAATCTGGTCTGTGCACAACCGGTCCTTACGGAATCCAGCTTGTTGATCTCGAACTTGAGCGTCTACTGTGTCTTTCATCCTGTTCAGTAACACTCTGTTGAAGACTTTACCCGGTATTGACAGTAGTGTAATGCCTCTGTAGTTTTCACACTTGCTCAGGTCTCCTTTATTTGGAATCTTGATGAGGTGTCCTTCTTTCCAGTCCATCGGCACTTGTTCCTCCTCCCAAATCTTCTTGAATAGAAGATGAAGCATGTTTGTAGTTACTTCGATGTCTGACTTCAGTGCTTCAGCTGGTATATTGTCGGGTCCTGCTGCTTTCCCGCTCTTGATTTGTCTGATGGCCATTCTGATTTCTTCGGTCGTTGGTGGATTGACATCTATAGGAAGATCTGTGTGTGCTGCTTCTATGTCCGGTGGATTCATTGGAACCGGTCTGTTCAGGAGTTCCTCGAAGTACTCTGCCCATCTGTTGCGCTGTTGTTGAATCTCAGTGATTGGTCTTCCTTCTTTGTCTTTGACTGGTCTCTCTGGTTTACTGTATTTCCCTGCAAGCTTCTTCGTCGTATCGTAAAGCTGTCTCATATTTCCTTCTCTTGCAGCTTTTTCCGCCGTCGTTGCTAGTTCTTCCACGTATTTTTGCTTATCAGCTCTAATGCTCTTCTTCACTTTATTGTTTGCTTCTATGTACTCAGCTTGTGCTTGGACTTTCTCTGCTCTTGTTCGACTGTTGTTAATTGCTGTCTTCTTGTTCTTTCTTTCTTTGATCCTGTCCAGTTTTTCTATAGAGATCCATTCCTTGTGATGGTGCTTCTTGGGGCCCAGAACCTCTTGACACGTTGAAGTTAATGTTTCTTTGATACCTTTCCAGTTGTCCTCCATAGTAGTTTCTTCTTCCTTCAGTAGGTCCTGTAAGGCTTGGAACCTGTTGTTGAGAGCTACCTTGAATTCATTGAGTTTGTCAGTATCTCGAAGGAAGGCTGTATTGAACCTTTGTGATGCTGTTTGTCCAGTTGTCCAGTTCTTCTTTAGCTTCAGTTTCAATTTGGCCACAACTAGGTGATGATCTGAAGCTATGTCCGCTCCTCTCCTGGTTTTCACATCTTCCATTGTCCTTCGGAACTTTTTATTGATGCAAATGTGATCTATCTGGTTCTCTGTGGTGTGGTCCGGTGAGATCCACGTAGCTTTGTGTATACGTTTGTGTGGAAATGTTGTACCGCCTATGACCAATTTATTGAATGCACACAGATTTGCAAATCTTTCCCCGTTTTGGTTCCTCTCTCCCAGTCCATGTAGTCCCATGATGTCTTCATATCCGGTGTTGTCCATTCCGACTTTGGCGTTTAGATCTCCCATCAGAATGGTGAGGTCCTTTCTTGGGCACTTCTCTATGATTGATTGCAGCCTCTCATAGAATTGATCTTTAACGTCGTCGTTGCTATCATTGGTGGGTGCATAACATTGGATAATGTTCATTGTGATCCCCTCCTTCTTTGTTTTGAATGATGCTTTGATGAATCTGGATCCGTAAGATTCCCATCCTACAAGTGCATTTCGTGCTACTTTGGAAAGCATTAGAGCAACTCCCTGAGTGTGTGGAGCATTTTCCTCTTTGTGACCGGAGTATAGCAGCATCTCTCCCGTATTTAGTTTTTGTTGTCCAGCTTGGGTCCAATGGGTTTCACTGATTCCCAGTACTGCCAAGTTGTATCTCCTCATTTCCGTTGCTATTTGACTGGTCTTCCCGTTCTCCCACATTGTCCGGACGTTCCATGTACCTATGAAAGTTATTTCTCTGGTTGTTAGAAGGGCATCGGCCCCGTGGCTTCCGAAGGGACTCGGCTTCCACCCTGAGGCGTCATATTTCTTCTAGATGAAGACCTTACTCCCAGGGCAGAGTTTAAATGGTTTGAATTATTTTTTCTGGTTAGTGTTTTTTAGCGAGTTTTCTACAGGATGGGGTCGCTAACCCCCATGCCCAACCCTCCTCCCTCATCCGGGCTTGGGACCGGCAGTAACTCTGGAAGAGCTACAGGCGGAGTTATCGGTACAAGGAGGCAATAAATAAATATGCGCCACATAAATCATTCGACTTTTGTGAGAGGTGAGATACTTCCCGGGTGCCAAAACCAAAACAGGTGGTTTTCTTAGGGGGGCACACATTCCGAGCCGAGCCTTTGACCTAAACATCTAATCCACAAGGCAGTGGAGCAACGTGAGGAGATGCAGTCCCATGGTAGCCGGTAACCAACGTTTGGTTCATACGCCATTTGTTCCTTCAGGATACTGGAGCCCATGAACACCATTTGTTTGGAGTCAGGGTTTTCCAACTCCCCTAGGTGGACTCTTCATGTCCACCAACTCGGTTAAAGCGCTGGACATTCGCTTTTCGTCCTTTCAATTTCGTAAACAACCCCGTCACGAGAAGGCAGTGAGTAGGACTTCCCTGGCGGTGGTTGTATGCATGTGGCCTCTTGAGAGCATTTCGAGAAAGAGGTGACTCTCCCCACTCTCGGTCGTAGTTTAATGTTTGAGTTCAATCGATAGAAATCTCGTCTCCTTACCATCGATTATCACCAGTGTATCTTCAAATATCAATAAAACATGAAACTGACAAAATTATCTGAATGTTTGGCTAAATTTGAGATATAAGTAATTAGTCTCTTTATTATGTTGCGCGTAAAAAGTCAGTCGTGTGATTATTGTTAAGCGAATAAATACAATCAATCATATCAAGGAATTTTCGTACACCGTATTTGAATAAGCTGTACTTGTTAATTGGAATCCAGCTACTCTCACTTTACGCCTGGTTAATTATTTTGACGGAGTCCATAAAAACTTACTAAATTTGATATGCAGGTTAAGACTTAAATGTTGGTTTGTGAAAGTTTAGAATTACGGTCTACTATGATATTAGCACTGCTCTAATAATAGACCTAATCCTAAAATTGTAGATTTATCATGATGTAACTGCCTAATCTATAAGATCTTACGTGTAAATTACATCATCGTCTACACCGATTCATTGCATTGTAACAATTACCAATACGTGATAGAGAACAAGCTTAGGCTAGAGATAGAATATATTTAATATGAATAGAAGATACAAGATAACATTCAGCTGGGAACACGACTGCAAGGCCGAGCCATGCCATCCGATCAACTCGGACCAATTCAAATTATTGTCCCCGCCTTCTCCATTCTTCTGTATTTCTCTGCGTTAAATGTTTAATGTCTATTTCTCATATTGTCTCGTGGTAGGGCCCAATGCCACTACAAGAGCACTTTATCATAAAGTTTCGTTTGGATATTCACGTCCTGAGTAACAAGGTCTGTTATCATCCAGATAAACATTTTGGCTTAATGTAACGGGAAGTTGTGGTGGACCACCCAATATATTATTTCAAAATATTAACAAGGTTATCATATATCAATGAGTTCATATTGAAATATATCAGTTAAATGCGATAAATACAATAAAAATATAAGAACGTTACTTAATGCAGCTACTTGTGCGTGTTCGATTTGATCTGGTGGTCTTTTACCACAATTTTGGTTCATTTAATATTCCATTTATCATGATAATCCGAAGGTCAGTATGTGTATGTGGCTGCAGTCTATAAAGTAGATAACATACGTATTAATTATTATGAATAATATCCACTAAGCAGATGAGAATAACAAGGGTATGTATAAAGTGTATTTGATAATGTATAGCGGCCAGAGCCGTGCTAGTGTACAATGAACGGAAAGTGAAAACAGCCCGTGTGTGTATATAGCGCCTGTTA